ATTTTCTTCCAAAATTCTTCTAGGGATTTGTCTGTGTTTTCCTTGATCTGTTCTCAATCCTTCCAAGATATCTAAATATAATTCTTTTGAATTCCTTATCAGGGTGTTCCAATGCTGCTTCTTCCTTAGGGATGTGTTATGGGTCTGTATCTTGCTCTCTTGTTTCTACCACTTTGTCTTGCTTCTTTGTCTGGACTGTGATGGTCTGTAGCCTCCGAGACATAGTGACATTGTTGTATTTAGATCTCTGTTAACTGTTTGGGAAGAGCAGCTAAGGGTGAGTCAGGCTCTTCTTGAGGTTCTTTATCATAGGCCCATTGGTGGAGAAGGAGGTAGTGACTGTCAGTAAACGAAGCTGCAGGAGGTGTGGGTGTAGTTGTGTTGTATGGGGACTGTTGCTGTCTCCTACTCAGTTAGACAAAAATAACAATTGAATAACCATCAAAAAAGTAAAAGCAAATGAACAAAAAGCACACTGAGCAATCACACAGGAACAGTAACCATAAAAGGGAAAAGGGGAAAACACAATAACAAAACACAACAAAAAACACCTCAATAGCCAGGGAGAGGGCAATAAGAGAAAAAAGGTAGAGAAGGAGAATAATGAAGAAAAAAATGGGAAAAACACAAAAAAGAAAAACAAGGAACAGGGTCAACCACAAGAAAGAAAGAAAAAATTGGAACCAGGAACTGGGGAAAGAAAAAAAGCTGGAAACTAGAACCTAGGAAGGGAAGAATAAAGAATGATAATAAAAAGGACAATAGCAATAGTAATAGTAGCAGTTTTAAAACAGAAAAAAACAAACAAACTAAAAAAAAGAAAAAAGACAAAAATCTGGACAGGGTGGGGCAGGGCACCCAGGCTCATCGGAGCACATGGAGTGGAATGGAATTTCTGCCAGCTTAGAAGGTGGGTGGGAGTGTGGGATGGCCACACCTCCATTCACCAAGAGGGTGTGAGATATAAGAGTAACAAGGGGAATGTCACACTTTTCCAGTAGTCCTATGCATCCAGAATGTCCTTCCCAGCAAGCGGAGCCTACTCTTAATTCCTTGGAATCTGGGTGAGTGCTGTTGCTTTAAATATCCAAAATGATCAAGCCACTTGTAAACAGTCAAAATGGCTGTGCCCTCTGGACAGGCCAAAGTCCACAGCTCAGCCCCCCTTCTTCTTCGCTGCTTTCCCTTTTATTCCCCAGCCACCAGAGCAGTCCTCCATGCAGTCCCTGGTTAGCTGGGCTGATTTTTAGGTTAATTCTTAGGTCCTACCACCACTAGGCAATATCCAAGCTGTCTGTGCCATCTGGTTTGCTGCCAGACCGCAGTTCCATAAGTCTCCTTTTTTTGTATTTTCATGCAAATTCTTCTGCTAGTTGGAGTTTAGTCCACTTCTGTATCCTTCCCTTCAAAGCTCAGGGGTCCAAGATTATCTTCTGTATCTGTGTTAATTAATTGGTTTCCCTTTTCTTTGAAGAGGCTCTGTGCAGTCTTTCTGCCTATTCTGCCATCTTACTGAAACTCCCCAGTTCATAGAGTCTTATGTAAGCTCAAAGATGCTAAACTGCTAGGAGAGGGTTTTTATGTTAAAGTCATTGACTCTCTTCAGAGATACTGAAGAGTATCTAGAAGGTGATACTTGACTGCTAACCAGAAGACTGGTGGTTCAAACCCACCAGCCACTCCTCAGAAGGAAGGTTGGGCAATCTACTTCCATAGTGATACCGCCTTGGAAACCCAAGGCAGGGTCTCTATGAGTCAGGTCTGACATGATGGTATATAACAACAACAGCAACAACTAACATCTAGTGGGTAGAGTCCAAGGATGCTGTTAATCATCATACTATTCCTACAACAGACACCCTTAACAAAGAATTATCCAGCCCCAAATGTCAATAGTGCCAAGACTGAGAAGCCTTGCAAATATATGAGATCCCTGGGTCAGCTGACTCTACAGCCATAAATACTCTGAATGCCTTTGCCTGTCTTTGTGTGATAAGGAGGGGAAATAAATGTCCATGGAAATACTCACCATGTTTCCTCTGGGACTGGGACTGCCTTGCGTTCCTTTCTGTCCAGGTCTACCCTAGAAATGCAATCATTTCCTCAAGATTATAAAGCAAAAGCTTCTGAAAAAAAATCATAAGGGCACCAGCATCAAATCCTCAAGCACTGTTAACACAACAGAACAGTTTAAATATTTCTGCATTTTAATGCTATCTTTTACACATCCTTTAAAGAGGGAAAGGTATAGCAACACATACTGTTGTTGTAAGATTTCTCTTATAACTTGCAGAAACATGGTAATTTAGTCTGTAGAAGTACAGTCTACTAGGGATATACCTTATTTTAATGTGTGCTTCAGAGTGTTTGTTGAACTACAGAAGGGTTAGATATTGTACTAAATCATTTACTTCATTTAGATTTTATGAAAGCCTCAACTCAATACCATAATCAATCAACTCAGATATGTAAAATAAATCCATTTACTTGTCTTCCTTGTTCTCCTTTGGAGCCCTTTTGTCCTTGGATGTTATTGTTTTGTCCTGGATTACCCTAGAGGAAGAATTAGAAAGTATTTCAGAACAAAGTCATACAAGCTTTGTTCACAAAATGGCATGATGTTTGAATACCAAGCTAATTTGAATTAAGGGAAGAGGAGTATGAGAAAATTCTCCATCTTTGAAACTCATAGGATTTTTGAAAAAATGAAAGTGATATTTCTCCAAGTTTGAAGGGTATCTGGTGATAAATGAAGAATTGAAAAAGCACACTAACTGCAGACATTTTATGCCACTCTTCCAAATATGTGATCAGATTCTCCTGTAATCAAGTCTGCAAAAAGGTAATCTGCAGTCTGCAAAATCAGAAGCCCAAAATTCAAAACTATAGAGACTTTCCCCTAAAGGAACTTGAAATGCTCAATATACCATAAAGGATTTTAATAAGATGCGCAGTTCTGAATGTTTAGTATAATAGGCCCTTATCAAATGTTGACACATTTTTCCCCAAACATCTAAGCCTTCAGCTACTATCTACCATCCCCAAGACGGGCATTTGCCTAAAGGTTAGCAGGATAAACAAAGAGAAAGGAGACAGGAGCTTTGGAGCTAGTGTAAGATTCAGAGGCAACTTACAGGATCCCCTGGGAAACCCTTCTCCCCACGTTCCCCAGGATGGCCTCTGGAACCTGGACTGCCCTGAAAAAACAAAAATGAGAGCTTCTGAGGTAGCTTGTTGGAGGTTTTCATAATTGTGTTAAGCTTACCAAGATCTGGAGATCTTATGTCCTAGGACCAGGACTAGGGTGAGGCCACCAAGGTACCTAGAGTGTAAAATTTAAGGAAGGACTAACACTGAGGGTGAGTCCCTCATTAAATTTTGTACCCTAATTGCCTTGCTTGCCTCATTCCAGTCCTGGCCCTGCTATGTCATTAATATGTTTTGGATCTGTTCTCACTGCCCTTGCTTGACTTAAAGACTTTATCCTCTGGCACCTTGATTACTAAAAATTTGCCTTTCATCCTTGCCTGCATCTCTGTCATTTCCAACACATCCTCCACAGTACTGCCAAGTAATCTTTCTAAAGTACAAATGTGATTGTCTTCTCACAGCTAAAACTCCTTCAAAGGCTCCCAACTGCCTAATGGTTAAAAGACAAACTCTTCCGCATAGCTCACCAGTGCCCTCCTGGTCTCTTCCCACCACCTCTTAAACCTCAACTCCAGCTTCGTAAACTCCAGTGCTCCTGCCAGGCAGAACAACTGACAATGCCTCCAATTTCCATGTCTTAGCTTATGCTGTTCCCTCTGCTTGGAATGCCCTTCCTCCACATATTCACTTTGCTAATTCCTATTCACCTTCAGCTCAGGGATCACTTCCTCCAAGAAGATTTCTTAAGTCCCCCAGGTTGATATTTCTGGGCTGTCAGGTAGTCACCTATGACATGGCTCTATCAGATTCTGTGTTGTAATTAACTATTGATATGTTTGTTCCACTAACTCCACCATGGGATCCTCGAAGACAAGAACTGCGTGATTCATCGCTGATTGTTTAGCACATAATTCAATGCTTAGTGCTCAATAGTATTTGATAAATAGATCAGGACATTTTATGACAGAGCTACTTAGAACCAAGTGGGAGTGTGCTTTGGTGGCACAGTGCCTAAGGCATTTGACTGCTAACCGGAAGATTGGTGGTTCAAACCTACCAGCCGATCTGTGGAAGGAAGATGGGGCAATCTACCTCCATAAAGATTTACCACCTCAGAAACCCAGTGTGGTCACTATGACTTGATGGTAGGGAGTTTTTTTTTTTAAATAACCAAGTAGGCACATAATAATAAGTTGAAATAATTTTTTAAAAATGTTTCACTGTGATTTGTTATACTAAACCCCCCCCCAAGTAATTTGGTCTCTTTCTCTAATTTTTTTACTTTTTTTCTGGTGTGATAAAGAGAACACAGAAGCCACTGACAGAATAAAGCATTCATTTTCAGAGTTCTGAAAAGCATACCCAAAGAAGAACACTCCATGCTTTGAACTTTTCTGGCTGGAAATTCTTGACAATTACATAATTACCAGCTTGCCTCAAACTGAATGCAACACCTCTTCAGGGGTACATGGCCTTCATTATTTGGTTAAATCAGCTGTCGATTTTATCTCCAACATACATAACAGCGACCAAGATGATCTCCGGCACCTAATCTTCTTTCTTTTATGTATTGAAAAGTGTTACCTGAAATCCTGGATCACCTTTTTCTCCCTTCTTCCCAGGGAGTCCATGAAAGCCCTGAAGGGAAACAAAATGCACACTAAGAAAATAATAATAAACCTCATGACAACATTATAGTGCTCCAAGAAAAATGGCTTACCTCTTCCCCGTCTATTCCATCAATCCCATCTTCTCCATGTTCTCCCTGAGAGACAGAAGTGGGCACAAGTCAGATGAAGGGAAACTTCAGATACAGGCTTATTGAGAAATTGATGTCATTAGGATATCAAATTTGACTGAGAAGAAACTACAGTACCTTATATCCAGAATATCCTTTGGCTCCCTGGAAAAGATGAAATATCACTTATTAACATGTCAAAGACAGAATGTAGATTTCTACACTGTTGGGGCAGAAAGGGGGCTGCCTCCCCAAAGTGAAATCCTGTGTACTTCTTTAGTTGCTTCTGCCTCTGTAGCCACTAAGAGGTTCTACATGGAATTTAATTAATGCTTAAAACTCCTTGAGACTGCTGAGAAGCATAATTTATCTTCAGCTGAGGAAACTAGTAGATCCAGTTGGAGAAAGGGAAACAGGGAGAGATGATGGGAGAGAGAAAATATAGGAGGGAAGGAATGGAAAAGAGAGGGAGAAGGTGTTATTGTGAATTTAAAATTACATTTCCAGTAAATCCTTACCTTTTGACCTATCTCCCCTGGACATCCCACCATTCCTTTCTCTCCTGGAGGTCCAATATATCCACGTGTTCCCTAAGAGAAGGGACCCAAACAGGTATCCAAAGTGACTCTTTGGCCAGAAGCTGCCAGTTGAGAGAGTTCAGCTGAGCACATAGGCCCTCTGAGCTTTCAACAAAGCAAGTCTCCCCATAATCTCATTCATTTCAATCTATTTCCCCCTATACCCACACATTTTTTCCCTGTGAATTTTCAGGGCTTCCTTATGGATCCAAGATCACGAAAAAGTACAGCACATAAGACAGCACAGCCCAAGGTTCAGAAGTTGCTTCACTTTCTAGCCACATTCCAAATCCTCCAGTAACACATGTTGGCCCTTCCTTGACATGTGGCCCAGAGCCCTAACACAGCTTTGGAAGAGTCAGCGTTGCTGACAGTAGAGAAGTGAGTGGGTGCCAGGGGACTGGAGCTGACAGGAACAGTTGATGGGAAGTGAGAAGGCCAGTCTCGCTTGTAAGGGTGAGAAAGCCAGTCTACCTGGGAAAGGTCACCAGGTGAGAGATTCCCCAGTCAAAACACTCATGTGGACAGGGAAGAGAACTCAAGGTCAATGATGTGTGTGTTTCCCACCGATCCTGTTTCTCCCATGTATCATTTAGGAACAAGTAAATGTTAGAGTAAAATGAGCCTCAAGAAGAGAACAATTCTGTGCTCCTTGAGGGCAAGGAACGCCAGCTGTCTCTTGCACCATTGTGTCTCTTGTGCCTCATGCAGGGTTGGTGCGTGGCCAGGTACATGGCTTGCTCATGAATAAATAATTGTTTAGCAATGAGTTTAATTCTTTCTGTCCTAGCAGAGGAGGGAAAGGTGATTTTCTTTTCTCTGATTTGCTTTCTTTATTCTGAGGATTATTCCCAGTAAAAGCAGAAGGTCTCGCCCGTGGCCATATTGTACCTTGTTGAGAAGTACCTAAAGCTTCTGGCTTTCCATTTAATAGACTTATAGCCAACTGTGGGATCACAGCCAGTTGGTGGGGTGACACTATTTCCCACATTCGAAGCACTCACATGCAACCTCACTGGTCTTCAAGACCTTTCTGAGAATACAGGATGGATGACGAAGGGCTCTTGCTTTAGTATTCACTGGGTATCCCCAGTGCCTGAGAGGGATTTATAAATGTTTACAGAGAAAAACCTGACAGTCAGAAATTAAATATCGTGTTCAGTTTCTCACATTTAGGTCAACTTTTGGCAGTAGTGAATGAAAACATTTTGTGGAATTCATATAACATGCAGACATTCCTGGCTGCTTCTATTTCTACAATTGTTGTGACTGAAGCCACTTCTTTCACAGGTGTGGTGGTTAATGTTATGTGTCAATTTGGATAGGCCATAATTCTCAGTATTATGTAATTATCCTCCATTTTGTGATCAGATGTAAGAGGAGTTTCCTTGGGGGTGTGGACTGTATTCAATATACAGTATATGGATGTTCTGGCATGCTTATTCATTTTTTCTGGTGGCTTTGTTAGCTGCTCTCAATCCTGCATCCAACTCATTATCTTCTGACCTCCCATTCTTGGGATGTGAGTCACTAGTTTGCTGCCTGACCTGTAGATTTTGGGATTTGCCAGTTGCTATAACCTTGTGAGCCAGCAGTCTGCCACCCGACCTGCTGGTTTTGGGTTCATCAGCCACTACAATCACCTGAGTCAGGAAAAGCTTCCAGCCTGACTCCTGACCCACAGATTTGGGATTTGTGGATATATACACATATACACTTCACTGGTTTTGCTGCTCTAGAGAACCTAGCCTTAAATAAGTCTCCCCAGGCCCTCCAGATCTTTCATGTCCCACTTGGGATGCATAAGCAGAGGCAGATGACAGTGGTGGAAAGAGCCTTGGGCCTGGAATCAGAAAACCAGAGTTCGAACTCAGGCTCAGCAACAATCTCTGTGAGTCACTGTTTCCTCGTCTGTCAAATGAGCAGTTGGAAGGATCGGAAGTGACAAGGTGGCAGTCCCAGATGAGGAGCTGCTCTAGATACCAAGCAAATACTGTCATGGGCTTGATGCTTCCTGGACTTTGCCCATTCCAAATGAAACCACCTAGGCGGTTTTAGTGCCTCCAAATTCATTCTCCTAACTTGATGGATAAATCAAGTGAGGGTTCTGGGTTTTAGGGTCAAACACTGAGATTTGAAAACTTCTGCATGGCATACATCATAAAGCCATGCCTTGGGGGATGCTTTACCCACTTCCCTTTTCATAGAATGGTATCTGTGACAGCCCAGCCTTAGTCAAATACCAAGGTCTAAAGAGAGCCCTCTAGCAGATAACCTTACTGAACCCCGCTTAAGGGTAGAGAGAAAGATTTCCTGCTCCTGTCTTTGAGAAAAACATGCCAGGAAACATTTATGTAAGCCTATTCCCTCCTTTCCAGAAAAGGTTTAGCAAGTGCCTCATGATTCAGACAAAGAAAAGAAAAACAACGCCTTCTTCCCAAGAGACAACAAAAAATAAATATATAATCCCATTGTGTCAAAAAAATAAAGTTTTTCATAAAAAAGAAAATCAATAAACAAAGGAGGGTGTGTCACAAAAAACTTACAGGGTCTCCATCTTCTCCATGGTGTCCTCGGCTACCTTTGAGACCTGGAGCCCCCTGGGAAGAAAGACAGAAAAAGAAATTTTAGCCATCTTCCATCAATTCAAGTTTGTGAGATCATTAGGCATTTTACACAAGCCTCCCCCTCCAATGTGACTGTGGTTTATACAACTGTGGCTGTGAGTCTGAGTAGAGTCTGACAAACTCTCGGGCTGCATTTTGTCCTTACAGTCGTCTCTGAAACCCCTCTGCAGAAGGTGACTCCCCTGATGCCTAGAGGAGCCTGACCTTTGGAACTCTTCTTACATTTGAGGACTCCAGGACCAGTCCTGTGCTTGAGGGATTTGCCCAGCGGAGAGCTGTGGTCATCACAACTCTTATAGCAACCAAAATGTTTCCTGAGAGACACATTTATTCTGTTTGTTTTTAGAGCTCAAGGAAGTAATAAGCCCTTCTTTAATCTACAAGGTTGTCGTTGTTATTACTGCCATCAAATTAGTCCTTGACTCATGCACAATGGACGGAATGCTGCTTGGTCCTGCACCACCTCCTGATAGGCTGTGGATCAACTGTATTGTACTCCAAAGGGTTTTCATTGGCTGATTTTCAAAATTTTCAAAAGTAGATTGCTGGGCCTTTCGTCCTTAGTCTGGAAGCTCCGCTGAAACCTGTTCAGCATCACAGTAACATGCAAGTCAGACAGACAGGTGCTGGCTGCACATGATGAGCACTGGCTGGTTATTGAACCTAGTTATCGAACCCATCCCCCACACTGAAGGTGAGAATTCTACCACTGGACCACCACTATTGCCCTATCAACAAGGTGGTGGTTGTTGTTCATTGCTATTGAGGTGATTCTGACTTATGGCGACCCCATGTGATATAGAGTAGAACTGCTTGTAGGGCTTTCTTAGCTGTAATCTTAAGAGAAGCAGATCATCAGTCCTTTTCTTCCATGGTACCACTCAGTGGGTTCGAACCACTAACCTTCAGGTTAGCAGTTGAGCACAAACTGTTTGCACCAACATATTTAAATTGCAGTCATCTCTCATTCAACTATATGTGGCTTAACTACTTCATGGCTTGTTTGTGGCAAAGATTGAGTTTGAGGTTTTGTTTCCTCGCTTTCTAATATATAAACTGGCTTTGTAAACCAGGAAGTTACGTATTTCTAATGTTGACCTGAGCAAAGTAATAAAAGAAGAAATTGCACTAAATGAAACATCATGATGCATTAAAAAAGAGTCAAAGATGGACAATGCAGATCTTATTAGCAAGTACTGTATGTGACCTCTTAAAAAAATAACAAGCTTCTTGTTTTTAGTTGGTATATAAAACCCATTCAGGAAACTGAACAAAATAAAAATGAATACAATATAAAGGTACAGCTTAATTATCTTAAGATAAATATCTGTGTATATTGCTCAGTCAAGAAATAGAACATTGTTGGTCAACAGTCACAGTGCCCCACACCAGTGATAATCTACTCCCTTCCCATGGAGGAAGTACACTCCTGAATTTTATGATAATACTTTCTTGCATTTTTTTAAATACTTCACTACTTAATTATTCATTCCTAAATACTCTTGGTTAGTTTTGCCTGTATTCAAATGTCTTACAAACAGAATCATACCATACATATTTATCTGTATTTTGCTTTTTTTCATCATTAGTGTTTATAAAATTGAGTCAGTTGTTGTAGGTAGCTTCTATCTAAATAACATGAATCAATTTTATAAACACTACAATGATCATTCATTTTCATTGCTATAGAATATTCTAGCAAATGAAAACACAACGATACACTTATCCATTCTCCTATTGTGTAACTGATATTTCACAATTCACTTTTTAAGGGTCTATTAATTTGCAGTGCTATGGTCATTTTGCAGTTCAATCTTGTTCCATTGCTGATTAAGAACAACTCTCCTGAATAACACCCCTTGTCACCTTCAAAACTATCTAAAGTAGGTGCAAAAGTATATATTGCAAGTCTAAGAAGCAATATCACCAAGGATATATAAGAAGAAAGGAAGTTATTTTTCCTATACTTAACATTGTTGTTGTTGTTGTTGTTATGTGCCGTCGAGTCGGACCCGACTCATAGCGACCCCTCCTTGGGTTTCTGAAGCAGTATCACTACGGAAGTAGATTGCCCCATCTTACTTCCGAGGAGTGGTTGGTGGGTTTGAACCGCCAGCCTTCTGGTTAGCAGTCAAGTGTCTTAGCCACTATGCTACCATAAGCTATGCTAACATAAGCAGTATCAAAAAAAGAACTGTTCTGAACCAGATCTTTTACCACAGAAGTCCCATGCAACTGTATCAATACTGAATGGAGGTGGCAAATTTAACCACTTGGTTTCAGTCCCACCCATTCCAAATCAAGGCACATGAGGCAAAATAGGATCAAAACTGATTGACACCTTCAAGGCTCTTTGTCCTCGAATCCCGTGAAGTCCTGGAGCCCCTGAACACTTGCAAAAGGCACAGCAGCACGTCCTCTCTGCAATGTTCCCCTGCACAAAAAGCAAACTTGAGAGAACCAACAGTTGCCAGGAACTTCATTACATTACAGCTATATTCAAAATCACAAATAATTCACCACCTACAAGATCATCCTCTCCTCTGACTGAAAAGACTGCAAAGAATAAGGGGAATTAGTGCTGCAAAGAGGGCACTAGATGAGCATCTGTGTTGGCAACTTCACTTCTCCAAAGGAAACAACCTCTATTTACATAGACAGAGTGCTCTCCACGTAGCCAGCTACAGGCCAAGTTTGTGGAAACTGCTTGGTTTCTAGCAGACAGTTTCCCATTTCTTGAGATTTTTGAATTTTTGCTTGATTAGGGGTTGGTAGTTTTTTTTTTTTTTTTAGTTCCCTTATGCATTCATTTAGTGAGATGACAAAGAATGAAAGGACATATACTATCAAATATTCTGATGCTCTGGGCTTTCATGCTTTTTCGTACACTGAAGACCTTGCATTTCATTTAGTGGAGCCAACAAAAGCAATCTTTGGAAATATTCTTAAAGTTTCAATTCTGTTCCCATGGCATACTGAATAACCAGGTTTTTCAGCCAACAACTCACCAGGTATTGTGATAGCTTTTTGCCCAGTTCTCTCATTCCAATGGTCAGGTGAGTCCTGTAATCAAATCCTTTTCCAAATTCAAAGCTTGAAAACTCATCATAAGCAGTTGCATTTAGGGAGACCACCAGCAGAGCATCAAGCCCTATTGGTAGAAATAACAGATATAAAGCCAAAGAGGTTGTACATGAAAAAGAAGAGATAATTATATTTCCACCCAGTGGATATTATACAAAGCATCAGAAGGAAGGTGGTGGTGGTGGTGCAGTGTGCATAAGAGAATGCAGCACTCTCAACATAGAAAGAACCCAACAGCAGCTGTGGCTACATTTTCTGTGCAAACACCAGGCTCTGGTCCCTGACTTGAATATGAAATCCCCCAAGACAAAGTATTCAAGAGAAACTACTTACAAAAAAGAAAAACACTAAAGGAGAATTAGGTTCAATGCCTCACCACAAATTTTGTTGTAATTCTTGGACATTTAAAGTATTTTTTAATAAAGACATTAATCTTCAGAGTTTTTTGAATTCTCCTGAGTGGAAATTAATGACAGTTCTCAAGTCATCCCTACTGCTAAACACCCCTGGGAAACCAGGTCCTCAGAGCATAGAGAAAGCCCAGGGTGATTCCTGCTCAGCTGAACTCATGGCCACACCCAACTATTGATTCATTCATTTATGCATTCATTCATTCACTCATTCATTAATTTATTTAATAATTCATTTACTCTATCCAACCATTCATTAAACAAATATTTGTTTATTAGGAGCCTGCCACGTACTCATAATTGTACCAGGGACACAAGATGAATAGGAAAGACAGTCTTCTTCCATTCACTGAGGTTATGGTCTAATAGAAGAGACAGACAAGAATCAGATATTTGCTCTGAGAAGTGGTAGGTGCTCTGAGAGGGAACGTCAGGGTGTTATGGAAGCCTAGAGGAGAAGCTCCTAATTCAGTCTTGGAGGGTCATGGGAGGTTTCCAAGAAGAGCTGATGTTTAGTCTGATTCTAAAAACCAAATGGCAGTTGGTCATGGGAAGGGAGCAGAGACAGATGGCAGAGAGAACTGGGGAGGAGGGGAAGCTGGGAGAGTTCTGGGCAAAAGAAAAGACTGTATGTGAGACCCTAGAGGTGTGAGGCTGTGAAGTACATTGGAGAGGAAACGAAAACAAAAAAAGTTCTGTATGCTTGGAGAGAGAGTCCCTGGGTGGCACAAACAGTTAAGTATGCAACTACTAATGAAAACTTTGGTGGCTCAAACCCACCCAGAGATGCTTTTGAAGAAAGGCCTGGCGATTGCTTTCCCAAAGTCACATCCTTGAAAATTCCATGGAGCAGTTCTACTTTGCAAAACATGGAATTTCCATCAGTCAGCATCAACTCGATGGCAATTGTGTTGGTATATTTAATCCTGGAGCACTGAGTACAAGTAGTGAGAGAAGGCTGGGGTGGGGAGGAGAGGCCAGATCCTGCAAAGCTTCATGGACCATATTAAGGAATTTTATATATATCCCAAGAATCATGGGGAAGGTGTTGAAGGGTTCTGAGCAGTAACGCAGGACATTTTGTAGCCTCTAGGGAAACTGCCTGGAAGCTGAACCCCAGCAGCCAGTCTGGGGCTACATCAAAGAAGTCTCAAACAGTGCATCTCATCTGACAATCAGTGACGTCTCCAGTCACTGCATAGTACTCTCAACTTGTGTATTTAGCTTCTAATGCAGTCTGAAGTTATGACATGCACAGGGGCATGTATAGTGAAGTGATTTCTCAAATCCATGTTGCTTTATCTCACATGCATAATCAAAACAGGAGGTGTCTTAGGTCAGATTCCTTGGGGGCACAATCTGAGAGGGGAATTTGGAATTTGAGTGTATGTGATTTATTAAGGGAGAGTCAGGGAAGCTGTGAGAAAGCATGTGTCTCAGTAAATAGTCATTGCCTTGGCCTGATCCATGAGGCACTATGGGGTGTAAAGTGTACCAGAGTTGCTCTACTTGAGGCAAGGGAACAATATATCATTGACTGCCCCTCTTTGGGGGTATCATATAACCCCCTCCTCTCCCTCCTCTCAGGTATATCCAAACCTGGCTCAAATCAGCCAAAAGCAACTGTCTGTAGAGGTCACAGGTGTGCATTTAGTAGAGTATTTGCAGCATTTGAGAAGTGAATGCACTGGCTGGTAAAGGGGATGTGGGCAGGGCACCAACAGCATCTACTATCAGTGAATGGACAGATGCCAAGACCTAGAGCACCTGAGTACAGTCAGGGACTTGTTTGCCAAAGTCCATGCTCCATTGTTTTAATGATAAACTCAGTACCTGCTTCTCTGAGTCTATCTGATTGATCTTCAAGCACTTTGATGTTAGCATCCTCGAGACCATCCGAAAAGATGAGAAGCACCTAGAGCAGGAGAAAAATAGAAAATGGGATGATGGAAAAGCTAAATACATCACTGGGGAGAGAGGGACAAATGGAAGAATGTGGAGACAGTTGAGGGACAGGACATGACATGGTACCTGTCCCTGGGACGCAGGTGAATCCGTAAATGTGTTCCATAGCGACTGCAAGAACTGAGTGTTCAGATGAGTTGGGCCATTGACGGTGACCTGTCTCAGGCTGTCAAATATTGCTTTCTGGTAGATTTGGAACTTTGGGGGGAATTCTTCATCATTGTTCACTTTAAAGGCCACACTCACTTGAGACTCTGCACCTGCCCCACAGCTCACCCCCCTGATGGAACTGATGTCCTCTAAGATGCCTGGGAGGTATGATTCCAACTTGAAGTGGTCCTGGAATAAACGCTGCCCCCGTACAAGAGTGGAAATGTCGAACCCAACTACTACATCGAGGTAGCAATCTGGAGACCAAGAAACAAGGCCAGATTAACGAGTACACAGGAGCAAGGAAGGACAAAAGAGCAAGGAGAGGGGTCATGGCCTAGGGCTAGAGGGTCTCTATCACCAAAAAGCATTCTAGAAGGTGATACTGGCTGCTCGACCTGCATGTTACATAAATGCTTCCTCTGTCCCCATTCAAATAATGGCAAGTTCTAATAGCTATTTGAAGTTCAAACCATGGTGTATTTGCATTCTCAGTGTGGCTGTCTCTGTGTATGTGCATGCTTCCTCTGATAATGACAGTCAGATAATCACAAAATATGAAAGATGTTTTATATTGTCTTTAGGGATTATTTAGTCTAGAGGTCACAAACTCAAATGGCTACAAAGCCCAGATGAGTAACATGAATGCACGAGTGGGCAAGGCAGAAGAAAAATGAACTGAGGAGCAATGGCCCACCTACAGGGATATCACTATCCTTCTCCCGCTAAGAACAGCCATGTGGAAAATAGGGCCAATTTTGTTAGATCTTCTGATTTGTTCAAAGATAAATCTAAAATCTACATTTTTATCACTCACTAAAATCACTCAGATCTAAATGTTCTCAAGTATTTTAGCAAGTTGTTAACACTGGGTGGGATAGACAAAGTTGATTTGCAAGCTGCCATATTGTCACCTCACCAGTCCAATTGCTCATCATTTTACAGACACGGAAACAGTGACTCATGGAGGTTGTTGATGAACCTGAGTTGGAAGTCTGGCTTTCTGATTCCAGGCCCAGGGCTCTTTGCACCTCTGTCATCTACCTCCACTTATGCACCCCAAGTGGGACATGAAAGAGCTGGAGGGCCTGGGTAGACTGATAAATTTTGTGAAAGAAGTGGCTTCAATCACAACAATTATGGAAACAGAAACATTCGGAAATTTCTGCATGTTGTGCAAATTCCACATGTTATTGTTCACTGCTGCTTTCTGAGGTATTCCCTTCCCAAACCCCAGTCCCAAATTCACAGCATCTGAAACCCATAAGGCTACTCTCAGTGGGTGCTGGATAGTGATATCCCCTTTGGAGGGGCCTTTGCTCTCCACTTCACTTTCCTTCCACTCTGCCCACTTGACTCATTCACATCACTAACCTGCCTTTCCAGCCATTTGAGTTTGCAGCTTTTAGGTCACATAATCTCTAAGGACCATGCAATCTTTAATACTTTAAGATTATATGAATTTCAACATTAAAAAAGAGAAATACAGACACAGACATGTACACAAATACAGAGCCTTTACAAGATCGTTTAACAAAATTAAAACAGAGAAAGTTCCAGTCAGCAAATACTGATGTACCTCATTTCTTATTGGGTGTCAAGCATTGTTTTAGGTCTTTCAGCAGCAGAGAAAGTAGAAATAAGAGAAGTAGGAATGCTGGATTGCAGTAAGGGGACAGGCTGACTGGAGGGCACATGCCAGTGCCTCCTCCAGCCTCTGCTAACCTTTCCTTGTTTCTGAGGGCCACTTGCTGACCTCAAACTTCTTGAAAGCAAAAGAGAATTCTTTTATCACAGCACATTCTTCTAACTATATATTCTGCTAGAGCTCATCTCTAAAGCACTTTTGTGAAATTGTAAAATGGGAAGTTGCAATTGAATAAAACCAAATAGTAAGCAAGGGAATACTTACTGCTTTTCCCACAGCTCTGGCAGATCTCACGAACCATTCTCTTTTTTGTATCATCAACGTTTAATTTGTTGAATTCTGGAAAAGTGATTATTTTTTCAGAATTGCCTGTTATTGGTAGAAGCTGTTCTTTGCGAACATCTCCTATGCCCAAAGCCAGGACACAAATTCCACGGTCTTTCAGGGTTTTAACTGCATCTGTCACATCATACAGTAGATGGCCGGATGTGATAACAAGCAAAGTTTGAGGGACACCAGCATTCCTTCTCCCACCAGCAGATGAGTCAAACATATAGCTCACATGTTGAAGGGCAACATCGATTCGCGGACGCCCATTGCTCTTGTGAATATTTTGAATTTGAGTTGTCATCTGGGTTTTATTCCAAGAGCTTTCCAAATCAATAATTTCCTGGTAGCGGCTCCCAAATTGAGCCATTCCGATTTTCATTCTCTGAGACTGAGTGTCAAAATTATCAATTAGGCTTGACAAGAAAGTTATCATGGTAGCAAAATCTGAATCCGATACCATATTTGAGCCATCACAAAGGAAAACTACATCTGCTTCTTGAAGGTTACAGACTACAATAAGAAGAAAAAAAAAATTATTTTCCCCCCATGAATCATTTTAAAGTTTCCTTTACTCAAATGCATAAATTGCTGCACTAAACTGCTACATTAGGAGTGCTGGTAGCATAGTGCCTAAGGCACTTGACTGCTAACCAGAAGGCTGGCGGTTCAAACCCACCAGCCACTCCTCAGAAGAAAGGTTGGACAATCCTACTTCCGTAGTGATACTGCCTCAGAAACCCAAGGAGGGGTTGCTATCAGTCGGGGCCGACTCGATGGCAAATAACAACAACAACAACAAACTGCTACATTAGTAGCAAACTGAGACATGTTAACAGAAGTGATAATCACTGATTGGTCCTCAAAGAGAAGAAAAAATAGTGAGAAAGGGGGAGGATAATAGTTTGCTTCAAATTTTAATAATTTACAAGACTCATTTGTAAAGACACTGAAAGCTACTCAGAGGAATAAAGTATGACATTTCAAAAGGTTGAATCTATTCACTAACAGGTGAAAAAGGCTAGGAACCCTTTCAACACACTGACATTGGAACTTTCACCCAAGTCAAGGTACTACCCTTCGTAGTGCTATTACTGCTAAAAGATCCCTGGGTGGCACAAATGGTTTGCACTTGAATGCTAATCTAAAGGTTGGTGGTTTGATCCTACCAAGTGGTAATGTGGAAGAAAAGGCCAGCCAATCTGCCTCTGTTAAGATGGTTGTAGTTGAATGCCATCACATTGGTTCTGACTCATAGCACCCCCATGGGACAGAATAGAACTGCCCTGTAGGGTTTTCTAGGCTATCATTTCTATGGAAACAGATTTCCATGTCTTTCTCCCATAGAACTGCTGGGTGGATTTGAACCACCAACCTTTTGGTTAGCAACTGAGTACATAACTATTGCAACACCAGGGCTCCTTCTGTTTAGATTACAGCCAAGAAAACCCTATGGGGCAATTCTACTCTGTAACATACAGGGTCACCATGCATCAGAATTGACATGACAGCAACCAATAACATTGACAGCACTACTACTAAGGCTATCACTTTACATTTGTGTTGAGAAAATACAATTTTAAAAATGCTTTTGGCATTTATAGATGTAGACATGGAATTCAGAAGTTAAGTGACTTGTCTAAAAGCATGCAATTAGTTGATGGCGGAGCTGGTATCCAAACTTCTTGTTTATCATTGAGTCTCCACAAAATCCACTTTTTCATCAGAAAAGTGCTGGTGGCTAGTAAACAGGGCTTAGGGTCCTACCCTTGAAGTTCAGTATGAAATGTTTCAAAATCAAGGGATGACCTTCTATACCCAATTCCAACCAAACTCAATAGCTGGGGTAGGGAAAGCATTGGTAATTTAGACGATGGGTTGTGATTGTCACAAAAGTCCTAGTAACAGTAGTGTAGTAGACAAAGAGATTCACTGCTCAGATGTGCCCTCAAGGAAGGATTTGCTGCTCAACTGAGAGTGCAATCAGCAGCCAGCAGCCAGCAATCAGCTCCTCCCCGTCAGTTCAGCTTCAGACAGCAACCTTGCCAGGATCATACCCTTCCTAGAGCGGGCCACTTCTGTGACTTAAGTGAGAAGGAGATGCCCAGCCTTTTCAGACTGGTAGGTAGAACTCCCTGCCAGGTTTGAGTTTTGTCAAGCATGTATTGCTGTTTGACTTCTTCTGCCCAACCCTGCTAGCCTCCTTTCTTTCACAGATGTGGATCCTTAGTAAACATCTTGTGCCCCACATTCCATTTCAGCTTCTACCTTCAACAGGTAGACTACAGACATGAAAATAAAAGAGCCCCCATGCTCCTAGGAAAAGACTTGGGTCTTAGTGACACACTGGACTTGGTGGACATTCAGTGATAGACATGAGGCCGTGTCTGCCAAGGACCTCATAGTCTGTGACAGATACAGATAAGAAAACAGTAAGTAGAGTATGATGTGTTAAGTGTTACCACCAGGAGAAAGAGAAGATGCGATATGCTGGGGACACAGAGGGGACATGGTCAGGTGTTGGGTCAGGAAAGCTGTCAAACAGAGGCTGAAACCTGACAGACAAGTTAGATGTAGCCAGGTGAAGTGGTGAGCTGGTGTGTTTGTAGGGTAGGATGGTCTATGGAAAAAGGTCCAAGAATTTCAGAACAGCACAGGAGGAGGGGAGGGGCAGATAAGATGAGGCTGGAGAGATGAGCAAAGGCCAGAAATAACTCAAAAGTTTGGCAATTGCCCCAAGGGCAGAAGGAAGTCTCCATAAAATTGTAAGTAGAGAAGTGACGTCATATTCCAGTGTGAATTAGACAGATTGCAGTGCTAAGAATGGCCTGGAAGGTGAGAGTTCAGGGATAGGCCAGAGCAGGCAGAAGAATTGAGATGGCCTTGCTACCTTGGGAAAAATCCAAATTTTTTCTTAGTTAAAGAAACTATCATTCAATATCTGAAACAAAAAGGCTGAATTAATTGCTTACTTAAGTAGCACAGAGGAGCTCTGGTGGCTGCTAACCCACAAGTCACTCTGTGGAAGGAAGATAAGGCAATCTACTTCCATAAAGGCTTAACATCTTGGAAACCCAATGTGGGTAGCTATGAGTCAGAATAAACTCAACGGCAGTCAGTTGGTTTGGTTTTTAGTTTGGTTTAAGTAACACAGAGCCATGGTGGTCAGGTATGGTTTCACTGAATAAAATAAACGCTGATCTGACATTGGAAGTTATGAAGAGTTTATTTGGGGTTGGACTGGTTACAAAGATGAGAATGGATTAGTACCAGTAGAGAGAAAGGAGGAAAGGAAAACAAGGAGAGAGGGATGGAGGAAGGGAGTAAAGAAGGAAAAAAGGAAGAAAGTTAGTTGGCTGAATCACTTACAGGTTTGGAGGAATATGCCAAGATAAGACAAGGAATTAGATCTTCCAAGGAAGCATGGAAGTCCTCCCTAGCTGAGTTCTTGCAAATCTCTGCTGCCTTTCAGATTGAACAGCAATGCTCATCCTTTCTTCATTCAAACATGATGCCTCTGGCCTGCCCCTATGCCAGTGATATCTCACATACTCGGCTGAGTGCCCTTGCCTCCCTGATTCTAGTAGCATTTACCCCACACATTCATCACCCATACCCATCCCTCTGCACTGGTGGCTCTTATCTAAATGAGCTCATTCACCCACTCAAACTTTCTATGGCTGTATTCTGCCCACCTAGTGCTACTCACTGCTGTCAAGTTGACTTTTACTCACAGCAACTCTGTAGGACAGAGTGATGCCCCATACAGTTTCCAGAGCTGTAAATCTTTACGGAAACAGACTGCCACATCTTTCTCCAGTGTAGTAGCTGGTGGGTTCAAAAACTTCTGCTCCTCACGGCCCTGTAAGATGCCTATAATCCCTTTAGAGGGTTCTAGATCTTTGAAGACAAAGTCCATCTGTTTAAACTATGAAACTCTCCACTTGAGTTTGGCCTGAAACTGGTTTCCTGTGGCTGCAGTGAGACCATTAAGCAAATGTGGCAGAATTAGCTGGTATTAAAGAGGAGCTCTGGTAGCATAGTGGCTAAAGCACTTGACTGCTAACCAGAAGGCTGGCGGTTCAAACCCACCAGCCACTCCTCGGAAGGAAGGTTGGGCAATCCTACTTCCGTAGTGATAACTGCCTCGGAAACCCAAGGAGGGGTCGCTATGAGTCGGGGCCGACTTGACAGCACATAACAACAACAACAACAAATGGGGTAAGGTGATTATGACCCTAAGAAGAGTTCCTTTCTGCCCAGAAAAAAACAACAGGGTAGAAAAACAATAAGAAATATTTCAGGAACTTTTCTGGTATAATCTTTTCAAAGCATGCTGCAGTGGAAAGGGATCTTCAAGATCTTGTTTGATCAACCCATTATTTTTAAAGATGAAAAAACTGGTAACCTGAGCAGTGACAAATTCAGCTCATGACAACCAGGTAATTAGTTGGAAGCTAAGCCTTGTGATTTATTATTTTATTATTATTATTAAACTTTCATACCTACCCCTATAGAAAGTTTAAAAATAACCTTAAACCAAAAATATTCTCTGAAATCTTCTTTAAAACCAAGTAATAGTTCAGCTTAACTAGTAAAGAATGTCTGTTTTGAGCATTGTGCTGTTTTAAGATCTATCCATACGGCATCAAATTGACAACAGCAACTCTAAAGAGTAGATAGAAACCTTATAAGACCCCAGAGACTAAGGCCCCTAGTTAACCTTCAGGTGTGGAACTGAACTCAGTCCTGTGGCTTTCAGCCAAACAATAGGCATATGGGGTGAACATTTACATCAGGTAGATACACTTCTTGGAGCAATCAATTGTGGGAGAACAGAAGGGCAGGGCTTGCACAGGGAGACAACTCAGGGTGGGGCAGGAGTGCATGGGAGGGAAGGACACAGGGAAGAGTTAACTACAGGGAGGAAGTGGGAAGAGAGCTGTTACATTGTGGGGAATTGCAGTCAATGTCATGAAACAAAATGTGTATGAACTGCTGTGTGGAAAATGAATTTTCTCTGTAAATTTTCACTCTAATCACAATAAAAATTTAAAAAAAAAAAAGAGTAGATAGGAACCTTAGTGAGTTTATATTACTGTTGTTGTTGTTGTTGTTGTTGTGTGCCGTTGAGTCGGCCCCGACTCATAGCGACCCCTTCTTGGGTTTCCGAGGCAGTATCACTACGGAAAGGAGCTCTGGTAGCATAGTGCCTAAGGCATTTGACTGCTAACCAGAAGGCTGGCGGTTCAAATCCATTCCTTGGAAGGAGTGTTGGGCAATCCTACTTCTGCAGTGATTTCTGTAGTGATGTAACATCACTATGGAAGTAGATTGCCCAACCGTCCTTCCAAGGAGTGGCTGATGGATTTGAACGACCAGTCTTCTGGTTAGCAGTCAAGTGCCTTAAGCACTATACTACCAGAGCTCCCTTATATTATATTACTGGGGGAGGTGCAACTCTAAACAGGAGGATCAGTGTTCCTCAATTGTATATGTAGAAACAGTTGGATTGGTATATGTTCTGCTGTGTATATTCTCAGCAACAACCACAAAAATAAAATGTTTTAAAAAATAACAACTTACCCTCTTGTGACTTGCTACACAGATTTTCCTGTAGAGGCAGGTAAATATCTTTCAGTTTGTCAAAATCTTCTACAAAGATGATATTCTCTGTGTTCCCTGCCATAGTCTCAAGTTCTTCTCTGACGGCGTCTTTTACACCCACTGCATAGATGGTGATGCCCTTGTCTCTTAACTTTGATGCTTTGTCTTTGAGCAGATTTCGGTCATGGGATTCCCCATCAGTGATGACAATGAGGATCTGCTTCACATTTTCCTTGATGCGGCTGCCATGTTCTTCCGTGAACAGGATGTTTGAGTAGTCAAGAGCCTTAGCAGTGTAGGTGTTCCCTCCAGTGCCCCTACGCCTCCTCAGGTTCTCAATAATTCCTGATTTATTGGAGTATGTATTAAGGTAAAAAAGAATCTCAGGATTATCAGAATATCTGAGAGCTCCAAACTGAACTCGATCCCTTCCAACATCTGCCTTCTTCACCAAATGGATTGTCAGGTTAATCATGCTTTGTTGCTGTTGTTCATTTATGCTGCCTGAATTATCCAAAACAAATACCACATCTAGAAGTTGAATCCTTTTGCAATCTGAAACAAGAAAGTGGAAGTCACAAACTTTATGCAGTGCATTCTTTACAGACTACTGAGAAGGGGAGCAAACTAACTGCCCTGCTCTACTACTGTCTGTCAGACATTTCATCTCCTTCAGTTCTCAGAGAAGCTGTTATCATTTTGCTGACAAAGAAGCTAAGGCTCAGAGAAGTACCACTGGCTCAACATTATGAGTCCAAGGATATTTGCTTTCTTATCTATATGACTTCACAATCAGTGGTTCTTATATCACACTACTCTGTACTGCTAAATCTTGTTAGGACATGCAATGCCTTTTGCTAAGCAGGTAAGGGAAATGTCAGAAGCTAGTTTAATGCCAATATAATGCAGAGGCATGGCTGATATTTACCAAACTGGCCTGCTGTTGTCAAGAGCTCAGGAGTAAGCTGGGCTTCTGTCCTACTCCCTGTGGTGGCTCCAGGTGTCTTCTGAGCTTCTGATAGGACCTCCTTCCTCTTACTTCTTGAATCAGAACTCAGAAAGGAGTAGACCCATGCAGGGGAGAGCTAAGGCTTTTATCACTTCTTTAGTCCCAAACTTCCACCATATTAGAAGACAAGGCACCACTCTGGCAGAATACTCAAAGTGGAGGCTTCTCTCTTCCTTCTTTTCCATTCTCAATAACTTGATTACATGCCTTCCAAGGGTTCCCTTTCTCCACTCTCCACCCCGCCTATTTTACCTCCAATCCTTATATTATGTTCATTAAATTTCAAATTTTCAAGTTTTGGACACTGTGGATGAATCAAGGCTACATCTGCAGATACTGGGGCAGTGTATCCCTGAGATGTGGTAACTAGTCACAACTTGATAAATACTTATGAATTTATCTAATGTCAGCTGAAATCTCACTTTTACCCAAATAACACCTTATATTATACCCAGGGTCTCCAAAAATACTACATTTATCAAAATGAAGAGATCCTCAGCAGAGCCCTGCAGTTTCAAAGGTAGGGCTATGGGCTTAAGGCAAAAATGTCTTAGAATGTCTCAATATTACTAAGGGTTTTGGACTCCCCCTTTGGAGGAAGAGAAAGCTCTAAGTAGCTGCTTTAAGGGAAATATTAAAGCAGTTGCCTAATATTCAGAATTTACAATGAGACTTTCTGAAAATTTCACACTGATAATAATTCTTAAGAGTGAAGTCCAATGGACAATATGATAGACTTAAAAGCACAGTTTTAATTGTGATTTGGGTGAAAGTTTACAGAGCAAATTCACTTTCCGTACATTTAGCAGCTCACATTCACTTTGCTCATGACGTTGACTACATTTTCCCACAATGCAACAGCTCCCCTTTCTCCCCATACTTACCTCTTTCCTGTGTCCTTCCTTCCATGTACTCCTCAAGGTGTCTCCCTGTGCATGCACAGCCCTTCTATTCTCCCATGATTGTTCTCTCCAAGGAGTGTTATCTACCTAATATAAATGTTCAGCTCATATGCCTGTCTTTTGTTTGCCTGGAAGCCACAGGAATGGGTTCAATTCAAGATCTGAAGGGCAACTAGGGGCCAAAGTCTCAGTGGTTCCATCAGGCTCTATCAGACCAGTGAAACTGGTCCCCTGCCTTTTATTTTTTAATGACTTTGAGTTTTGTTCCACATTGTTCTCCCACTCTATCCAGGAACTCCTGCATAGATCCCCCTCCAAGTGGTTGACAGTGGTAGCCAGGCGCCATCACAATAAAAAACAGGACAAGCACAAATATTTAGCAAATACTAAACATTTATCATTTTCCTTTGAGGTTACCCTGTGATTTATAATTTTTTCTCCAAGTTTAGAGCAGTCCATTCTATCTTGCAACTCTCTTGACTTCCTCACCATTTAGAAGTTCTGTAACTACCTAGACTTTTCCCTTTTTTTTTTTGGTTTGTAGTGGTCCTCGTTTGCCAATTGATGTCTCTGGTTCCCTGTTTACAATCTTGTATGCTTATTTTACTTTGGATACTTCCAGAGCAGTGTTGGTTTCTGGATTATGTCTTCTTGTGTATTAATGGTCAGTTGTTGTTTGCTATTATTGGTTCTCTGTTCAAGGACTCCCTTTAGTATCTCTTGTAAATTGGTCTGGTTTTAACAAATTCTGTTAATTTCTGCTTATTAGGAAATCTCTTAATTTCACCATCATATTTGAGGGACAGTTTTGCCAGGTATATAATTCTAGGTATATAGTTCAGTGGCTGTGGCTATGGGCTCAAGTATAGCAAGGATTGTGGAGCTGGTGCAGGACTAGGCAGTATTTCACTCTGCTGTGCATAGGGTCACTGTGGGTTGGAGGCAACTCGACAGCACCTAACAACAACTACATAATTCTTGGTTGGAAATTTTTCTCTTTCAGGCTTTTATATATACCTTCCCCACCAGCCACTCCTCGGAAGGAAGGTTGGGCAATCCTACTTCCGTAGTGATACTGCCTCGGAAACCCAAGGAGGGGTCGCTATGAGTC